TGAACGCTTAAAGCAAAAGCGCAGCAAAGAAGCAGGCTAGTCCCGACTGTAACCCCCAAACCCCTGACGCCAGCCGGTAGGGTTTAGGGTTTAGGGTTTAGGGTTTGGGTTCTGTGCAGGCGGCTGTGGCACGGAGACGCAGCGTATCGTGAGAAAACCCTCAAAGGCATTAAAAAATATATTCTCATGAGAGGCAGCATTCCAAAGAATTCAGTTTCGCATGCAGTGTTCAAGCCAGCAGTAAGCCCCAAACCCTAAACCCTAAACCCTAAACCCTAGGCCGTATGGCTCTACGCAGCCCGCAGCCCCAGCCAGCGCCACTTCATGAGGGTTTAGGGTTTAGGGTTTAGGGTTTCGCGGTTGCTGCAGCAAACTACCGCCGACCGGCTCTGGAGCTCTATGTACAGCCGCCTCCTGCAGCAGCACGAGCAACAGCAGCAGCAGCAGCAGCACGGAAAGCCGCAGCAGCAGGAAACGCAGCAGCAGCAGCAGGGAGAGCTGCAGCAGCAATGGCAGCAACGGCGGCAACAGCAGCAGCAGCAGGGGCAAGAGCCGCAGCAGCAGCAGCAAACACCAACTCCCAGCGTACAGACACTGTAGTACCCCTGCCCCTTACAACTCGCCCCCCAGCGACGCCCCTAGGAGCTAGCTGGCTATCTAGCTGGATAGCCAGCTAGCCAGCTGGCTAGCTGGCTGGCTATCTAGCTGGCTAGCTGGCCAGCTAGCTAGCTGACTAGCCGCGTAGCTAGCTACTGCACCCACAGTCGCCGCGCCTGCCCCCCTGGCTAGCTAGCTAGCTAGCCAAACTTCTAGGGAATCTGTGGGTCCCCCTCGTAACAATGTCCAACTAGCTAGCTATCCAGCTAGCTGAATAGCTAGCTATCTAGCTCGCCATATAGCTAGCTACCCAGCTAGCTATCTAGCTAGCTAGCTAGCTACCTGGCCGCCTATCTAGCCGGCTCGCCAGCTGACTATCTAACTACCTGGCTACCTACCTAGCCGTCTAGCTAGCTGTCTAGCTAGCTATTTGGCTAGCAAGCTATTTGACTATTTGGCTAGCTAGCTAGCTAGGTGGCTAGCTGCCTGGCTAGCCGCTGCATTGTGTGTCGGTTTGAATGTCATTAAGAGAGGAAGAGACAATTTCCCAGAGCATTAAAGGCAAACGAAGAGCAGCAGCAGCGGCTGCTGTTTCTGCTGCTGCGCTTCCGCTGCTGCTGCGCTGCTGCTGCAGCCGCAGCAGCAGCAGCGTGCGGCCGAAGCGGGGGCAGACCCTAAACCCTAAACCCTCTTTATGCTGACGAACGCCGGACGGCGCGCGCGCCCGCATGCAGTGGCTGCCTATTTACATAAATAAATAATAAATAAATAAATAAATAATAAATGATTAATTTTGTTAACAAGTAAATCCATATAAAACTAAACTGCTCCCCAGGCGCCAGCAGCCCCACACCTCCAGCTGCTACGTGCAGGTGTACGTACACTCGAGACTGTTTACGTAAATGTACAGAAATAAATTTGCATGCAGAGGAAAGATAAATACTTTTAAATGCATGCAAACGCATGCATTTAATGCTTCTAATGTCCATCCAGCGCAGGTTATGATGGTGAGTTTTACTGTGCATTTAATGAACATTAAAGTGCGTTCAAGAGGCATTTAATTTTGTATCCAATGTCTATTCGATCTGTATTTATTTATTTGTTTATATACATGTATATATATATAAATTATATATATATATATATAAATATATTTATATATATAACAATATAAATATATATTGTAGAATATATATATATTTATATTATATATATATATTGGGTTAGATTTTCATATGTACATATACATGCATTTTGGCATACATGTACGCAGACAGTGGAAAGTGTATTTACATTTAAACCATTTGATGGCGAAAATGCAAAAAGCGATTATAAATAAATACCACTTGAGCAAAAAAGAAGCAGTTTAAATAATCAAGAAGGCAGTGCGAGTGGAGGAAAGAGAAAATTGAACTCCGTGCATCTGCATGCACACCCCAGCTTTACGTACACCCTGCGGGCCCAGCTGTAAATACACCCCGCGGGCCCAGCTGTACATACACCCCGCGGGCCCAACTGTACACACACCCCGCGGGCCCAGCTGTACATACACCCCGCGAACGCGCGCAATTCTAAATAACTTTTTCTCGAAAGAATTCCCACAAAAGCGCGAGCTGCGGAGAAGAACAAAAGGGACAACAAGCATAAAGAGACAATAAATAAAAAGGAGACACTTTTAATTAAAGGGACAATAAATAAAAAGGAGACACATTTTAAACGAAAGAGACAGTTCATTCGAAAGGAGACAATTTGTTCTCTGAAGATACAATTAATTCAAAGGAGACGATAAGTTCAAAAAAGATAATGTGATTTTAAAAAAGAACAAGTTAATTTAAAGCAGGCACTTTAAAGAGACAATAAATTAGGGAGAGACATTCTTGATTTTAAAGAACAATACATAAAA